ATAAATTAAATTTCGAAGAAGAAGTTAAGAAGAAGCCCCGCCCCTCAACTCTAAACCCCGCCCACTTAATAAACAATTCATATAGAAAAATAGCGATTTTTGACGGATCGCTGTTTTTCTATATGAATTGTTTATTAAGTGGACGGGGTTTAGAGTTGAGGGGCGGGGCTTCTTCTTAACTTCTTCTTCGAAGTTTAATTTATCCATCCATCAAGTTAGAGGGGTGACTGCATTCAATTTCGATTTTTTTCCAATTCATTTTTCATCGGTAAGTTCACCCGCTCTTATCTATGGAATTTTAGGGTAATTAAAAATTGAACTAAGTTCATGATGCATTACTGCTGAGTTAGTCCACGTCGAAAGTTGTAAAAAATACTCGCGCAAAAATGCTCACGATACAACCCCATAACTTGGCCTAAACAAAATCTTATAACATAGTGTAAACAATACAAATTTGCAACGTAACCTCAAAATAGTCAAACTTTACGATAGTGGTGACAGTTGCTAGATTGCTACACTAGTGTTGCCAAATCTCAAAATATAAAAGGCAGCCCTCGTATGAATTTCGGTACGGGTCAGAATGTACCATCACGATTCCTCATCGAGACTAGATTTCGCAGAACCAGTGCCAGTTCCTGGTCCACGCTCAAGAACTTTCTTCCTTTCTTCCTTTCTCTTTCTTCCTTCTAGGACGAATTCCGTCTGAGTTAGATATGAAAGCCATGAATAGGCTACGAAGATCATGAGTCTGGACAATTATAGTTGGACGGGATTACCAGGCTCTGAACTTGCCTGTTTTTGGTGAGGCTACAGATGAAAATTGGCTTTCTCCTCGTACACAAACGTAGTTAAATTGGGCTACAATGTAGTGAAAAGTTCCCACACACTTCTAGACAAATGCTCACTAAGCGTTTTCAATCCGCCCTCCGAAAGTCCCTCTAATTAGTACTACTTTGTATATTATGTAAAGATTTTTACTTAATTCCGCTTCAACGAAAGCAGTGGAATAGGTTGCTCTGTTTGTTGTCCAGGGATGGCAATGATGATCGTGTGAGGGTTGTACGTCTGCTTTCAAGCGTCACGTAATTTCTTGAGGGATGTAAGTTGAAACCTCTGGTGAGTGTACAGATTCCCGTGAGTTCCTAACCAGAGTAACGAAATCAGAAGAGATTCATACGTAAGGTGACTGATCAAAAAAACTTTGATCATTCGTAGTATGTAACGAATTTAGGATAAAAAAGCACACTCCCACATGTGAGTGCGCTCGACGTCGGCATAACTAATCGAGATCGTTAAGCACGCACCGACCTACTTTCGAGCACATAATGGTGCATCCTGACCTACACCAGGGCAAGGCACAGCTTTAAAAGGCAGCAAAGCGGCATGCGTTATTGTGAACAGGCGCGAATGTTAATCGTGAAATTGAGATGGCTCCTGTTCATGATGACGTGGGCATGAATTGAAAGCCAATATCTTCAGCCGGTGAGCGATGGCTACACCTAGTTCTTCTAGAGCTTTAGAAGCACCTAACTATAACCTATACCGTTAGACGCATTTGATGTGAAAACCTATTCGCCTTCTGGGTACCGAGTGTGATTGAAACAAAACACTACTGTCGAAACCTAACGTACATAATCCAATTTTTGCGGTAGTCGCTTTCGCTCAGCCTCTTCAGGAGGTTGGTCCGTCTGGCTCAGGTCCGATTCACTTTTTTCAACTAGCTTATGATCTGATTCCCGTTTTCCCGTTTCCTTATATTTTTTCTTCGACGGCTTCCTTTCTCCTTTTTTGGGTTTATGGACTTTAAATATGAACTTCGGCTCTGATGCAGTTGATCGTTGCGATGTTTCTGTGGCTGAAGACGGCATATCGTTCGTTGATATCTCTAGCGGAAGTTCTCCTGAGACACCAGAAGGCGTACCGCTTAACAATTTGTCCTGAGACGATTGTGCCGTAGAGGAGGATATTTGCTTTTGTTTTCTACCAGCCACGGCATACTTCGAGGTCAGGTCCAAGTATGAGCCCGTTTTTTTCAAATCTCCGTGACGATCCTTCCTTTTCCTTTTCTTCCTTCTCGGGGACTTTCTCGGTGTTTTTGGCTTCTCTACGGGTTTTCCCACTTGTGTAGAGGTGCTTTCGAGAAATGCTGGATTCACAGGCGGAGCATCTTGAAAACAGACTTCAGCGGACGTACCCCATGGTGCTAGTTGACTTCGTATCTCTGGAGTACGCCTTGATTTAGGTGATTTTATAGGTGTCTTGGCACTTCGTGACTTTGTTGAAGTCGACCTTGTTTCATAAGGCAATTCTTCTCTCTTTGTGGTGGATTCTGCAGATGGCAGGTGTGAAGTTGTGTGTCGAGGACGAGTACTTTGATATACCGGCGTCTTAGCTTTTGAGGTCGACCTTGGTTTAGAAGGCAGTTCTTTTCTCTTTGGTTTGGTGATGGTTTCTGCAGATGGCAGGTGTGAAGTTGTGTGCTGAGGACGACCACGTTGATATACCGGCGTTCTAGCAGAACTTGCTACAGAAACTGCCCTCTTAGGAGGACGATAAGGGTCTTTGGGCTGTCGGAGATGCCTCGGTACTGACATGGACCGGCTTCCAGTCACGCAGGGCACAAGCGCAAATGGGCATATATGTTCACAAATCGGTACTCTACTGGATGGTAGGGCCTCTGGTGCACCGTCGTGGTGGCATACTTTCGTGGTAGTGATTGTCTCTTGAGTCTTGATCTCCGTATCTCCATCAACTTTCAATCCCTCCGGTAGTTGTTGTATTGGGTACGTGTGTACCTTCTTTGTTCTTTTCACATCAGACTTTTCTCTTGGTAACATTCCTGGACCGCTCTCTGTCACTGTTGTCGTTTCTGTCCTATTGATTGTTTCTTCTACTATGAAAGGTTTCCTTCCTCTAGTACTTGCCGTTGACACTCCAGGGGATACAGCAGTAAGCGTCTGTACTGACTTTTCAGAAGTGGTTCTTGCCGTTTTCAGTTGCCCTTTTGTGGGAGTTCTAGTCGGCCCTCGTCTAGACGACATCGTTGGAGGCGTTCTAGACGGAACTCGTCTAGACGACACTGTTGGAGGAGTTCTAGTCGAGGCTCGTCTTGAAGACATCGTTGGAGGTGTTCTAGACGGCACTCGTCTTGCCGACACGGTTGGAGGCGTTCTAGCTGGTACTGGCCTTGACGACCTTATGGGTGTTCTAGAAGATGATCGCTTTGACAATTGCTGCTCCGAAGAAACCGCTCTTTGTGATCTTTGCGATTCCGTTGTGATAGTCCTTCCTTTGGAGGGAAGAGCCACCATATTGCTGGTCTCCTTAGGTTTCACTTTCACGGGTAGCGACCGTTTGGAACCGGTTCTGAAAATAGCACTGATGTGTGAATTACGCTTACGAATCAAGAGATGTGATATTCTATTAACTCTCACAGTTGTGCTGATTCACCGGCAAACTTGATATGAAACGGGCTGTCATTGTCATCGTATGGTTCAGATCCCATAGCTAGGGAGTGCCCAGTTAGGGCTAGTATGAGGTCAGAGAACATATTCTATGCAAGCCCAGCGGCACAGCCTATGGCTCTCCCACATGGTAAAGCCGACAAAATATCCGCATTTTTTCACACTCACGCTAGTTCCTACGATATTGCTCGAGAGCGCCACCAAGATGACACAATTTACGATCAGACACTTCTTCTATGGAAGTGATTCTGGCTAGTGTGCCAAATGTTGAACTTCCCGGTTCTGATGTGGGATGAAGGTAAGGAAGGGCAAAGTCACATCTGATCCTGCTTGTATGCGTAATCTCAGAGGACAAAAGCATCCTTGCGTTTTTGATTGAAACTGTTCTCGTGGTTTTATTGTCTTGTGTATTTGTGAACTAGGGTGATAATAGGTGCTCGATATCCTCACTAAACTCACAACAATTACGTGGTCCGTCCCGGGATTCTCTACTTCTGAAAGTGAAGTGCACCTAATGAGTTCGAGCACCGTATTTACTCTTAACGACTGACAAACTGGTTTTCGGGAATATTTTTAGGGATATTTACTAAAATTACTAGCGTTATTCATTAATGGTGACGATAGTAACCTTGCCCGTTACCCGCTGGTGGGAGTCGACGGTCAACAGGAGGACAGGATACTTTGTCATTATCGTGCTGATAGGAAAGGATCCAGGTGTTGTAGATGAGGCAATAGAATGGGCATGTCTACACCTTTTTCTGTAACTCTTGCTCAAAATACTCACTCATGATCTGATTCGCAGTTTATGTAGACATTGTCAGCATGCATGATTGTGATTTCAAATTCATCATCATTGCGGATTTCTACACCTCCGGCATCGTCATATTTTTTCATTTTCGAATATGGTATACTACATCTGAAACTTCTTTTTATCATAAATATATAAATATCGAATATAATAGGTTTTTTTCGGATTCTTCATTCGGATGCGGAAAACCCGATTGGACCGCGAGCTCCCCAAGAGATTTTTTTTGAGAAAAAAAAATTCGGCACGTTCAATTCAGGGGACTCGCTCTCAGCAACGGTGGGGAGCGCCAGTGTGAGCCCGACAAGTATCCAAGTGCCCCTCACTGAGTGCGCAAGTTCTCACCTGTCGGACATTGATGAGGAAGGAAGACATGAAGACCGCAGGCCAATGGGGTCCTAGAAACAACAGCTGAAGGAGATTGCCTTGGAGGACGTCTGCAGATCGAGGGACACATGGGCATCGAATAATTCGTCCTTTGTTCATAAGCTTTTTACCATTTATACATATGCTGTGTTACTTTGTGTGGTACTCATTGACTTTCAGCCCAGATGTTATGTCAGTCATGTTTAGTTCCCTTTTTGGTATTACTTTCAGTTATATAGTGTAGTGTGTAGTAGTCTAATAAGCTAGTGTTCCTTAATTCTATATGGCGCCCTAGGGAGTAGATGGGGTAGAGCACCCTAGTTGCATACACCCTATCGGGGATCTAGGTCGTGGCAAGGCGGAGGTCTTCCTCATTCAGGAGCCCCTTGGTTCTCGGGGGCTGGCCCGCCCACATGCACATAGGGCGCAGGTAGGGCTCGGTGGACCGGTGAGCCAGGTTGTCTGAGGGCTATGTACCGCCGATGTTGATCGCGCAATCGACATCGGCGGCACATAGCCAAAGGAAGATCATAATCGCGACAATGAGAACTGCTATATCAGTGTTCAAATTTGGTTATGGAACCCACCTTCAGGTGAACTAAAAATTTTGTTCAGTGCGATCAACGTTTCCCTTTATGGAAGCTCACAATATATACCTCTATCTAGTTTTTTCGATTTCCCCAAAATTCAGTTTGCAAAGACATGCACTATATATATCAGGTGTATGGTAATACGTACAGATCGGTTGGGGAATAGGTAGGTGTGTGAGCAGACTTCGAATCCGAGGTGACGTTCGGTGCGGTATGGCAATCTTCACTCCTAATACTATCCGCAATACTGCTTGCCCGCTTCTCTGAAAGAAAAACATTGAAAACTTTATCAGTGTGGGTACCTGTCAAGGTGGTCATGTCGAATCCATGAGTTTAAATACTACTGTGTTGTTGTTTCAGAAATCCAAAGACATTCTGGAGGCCTATTGTCTTTCTACTCTCAGAATTATGTTTTATGCAGTAATGATTACCAGTATTCCTAATCTGCAGTTGACATATTCGAACAGGTGGATCCTTTATCTCCCCTCTGCTGGAGCCCTAGTTGTGGTCGTTTTGATCACAACTTGCCAACCTTTTCATAACACCTTTGACAAATTTGTTAACAAAGGCATGAAAACACCCAGAGCTGCACATACATGAATTGTCTTATGTCGTACAATAACAGATAGTATCGGAAGAACGTAACGCTTCGCTTAACTGAGCCAAACATTCTCATTTTATGATGGAACCTCACTTTTTTTTGAAGCATAGTTTACCACACAAGCAGCTTTTAAGGTTTCCTTTTAGGGTGTATCTGTAGCTCAAAAGTGTAGCACGTGCAAGATTGTCGAGTAGAAAAACAACTTCGACAACGCGTTACAAAGGGTTCAAAACCGGTTTGGCTGACGCACACACCTAAAAGTGGCCGTGTTATAACGGCAGTGTAAAGATACAGTTCACGATAAAAGTTGTTTCCGAGAAAACCTCATAGGGTAAGGCTTTAGGCCCCTCATATACATTACAAAGGAATTGAACGAAGAAACGTCTCAGATGGTGTATTACAGGGCGCTTAGCAATTGTACCGGTTGCGTGCCGCACCCGCCGGTGGCTAGGATCTGAAAACCTTCGCCAGGCACCACCGTTTGCATTGGAGCAGCTTTGATCGCAATTCAACAAGCTGATCGTCGTAACCTAAGTTATCATTTAAAGTTATCCTCTCATCCCACTGCTGCTCTTTGTGGCTAGTATTGCTACGACAGCTATTCTGAAAGAGTTGCACTAAGTATTAGAGTAGGGCGAATAAAATCACCTAGGCCAGGATACCCACTCGATGATGGTCTACCACTTCAACTTAGTGGGGGGGNGGTGAAACGGGAGGCTTCTAGGTGTAGGCTTCAACTAATTTTGGTTCAACCTCCCGGTCCACGGGGACAGGAGTTATGAATTTGCGGCCTAAAATTTTTATTAGGCCACGCCCCCTGTGAGCGGGGTCCGGTCGTGCTACCCGCCACAAGTGTTCCCATACTGCCTCCTGTACTCCCACTAAAATTGAACTCTCTATGTCCACGCCAGAGTTATGAATTTCCGGTCAAACACACACAAACATACACAGACAAACCAACATACACACTCAGCGCATAAAAATATAGTAGGAATGTAATTCTGTTTTTTCCAATATTTAAAATTTCATCATGCGCTCTAATGCAAAGTTCCGGTGTTCTTAAGTCACGTGAAAGTATCTTGAGCGACCTGCCGCTTCGCCGCAGAAGCTATGGTTTTGTAGATGTGCGAGGAATTGCAGGGGGCGGCTTCCTTGCTTGGGACGCCCTCGCGTTCTGGATTAAGGACCAAGATTCGCTCGCGGACGTCTGCATGTCAAACGGTCAAGAGTACGCCACCTCACTTCCCTCTGATCCAGAGTAGCATAGCTACGATGGTGAAGACTCAGCACTGGCCCTGGCGAGGCATTGTTGAGACTCCAGGAGTAGGCTCGCTGAAACAACAATACAAAGCTTCAGCACCCCGGACACTGGGCCCAGCCGTCTCCGGCGTCGGAAGGTATGGCAACTCGTGAGAGGCGAAGAAATCTCTGGTCGCGCTCGTCGTCGTCTTGGATTTCAGACCACGACTGCACCCCTCTTTATGACATAGAGGCTGCTTCCTACTTTATACCTACAACGCGAAAACAGTCTCTTCCAACGCCGCCCTTTATGAGCTCCGCGAGGCGACTAGTCGCATCGAATATCACAAGTTTACGTTACAAGAAAGCAAGAGCCACAGGAACGACGTACGACGAATGAATGATGGAACCGTAATCATTCGTGGCGAAGAGCTTCCATCGCGAATAGTGGGCGACGTTGAACGATTATGTGCGTCCATGTGTCGTCCGTCTCGTCGATGCTATCTTCTCACTTTGCCATCCTACGTCTACGACATTCGCACCTGAAGACAACCCCTACTGTCCCCTGCTATTCTTTACACTCTAAAGCTGGCGAAGTAGAGCTCGATGCTTTAACGACCAACTTGAGGAAGTCATTCACAACTGGAAGCCCTTCTCCAACTTCGTTGTTGGGGATTTCAGTGCTAGGCTTGGCGGAACACAAGAGGAGGGGTCCAGGATTTGCAATCCTTTTTCATATAAAGTATCTGTAGTACTCGGATTTTATGTTGCGTTTATCCCGAGGACGGAACCCACTGCGTACGAGGGTGCGTGCGACAAATTGCGCGGCGAAGTTTGTAGCCATTTGAAAGGCTCTAGCTCAAAATTCGAAGTAGAGTACATTAGTAGGACCCCCTAAACTACTCCACTTAAAGTTTGTGCCCCAATAAATATCATCAGAGTTGCTCAAATCGCCACTTGTTCCTCCGTGCAATTTGCCGAGCCCATTCTCGGGCACACATATGTTTCCATGCCCCGTTTCTTCGTGTGCCTGTATCTTTCTCCATTCACGGAGTTTTCCACAAGTATGATAAAGGAATCATTTGAAAGAAACATGTCGCTGGAAATGCTAAAGGTAAGGAAGAAACTCAATCAGATCTCTGTGATAAAAGTGATATCTTGATTGAAAGGAAAGGAGTGACATAAGACTGAATTTGCCTCAGTGCTCTCTTCCAAGTGATAGCGATTGCTATCGATTTGCGGTGCGCACTCGTGAGTCTTCTCAATCATGTTACCAGGGGATGCATCTAGAGAGTGGGAACTGAAAGCTTGATTAACATTAGATACTGAGAGCACGTTTCAGCGCTATGAACTACTTGATACTCCTTGGCGCTATTTCACCTTTATAGGCACAAACA